CACTGGTACAGATAGGAACTGGAAATACAGGGAATCCAGAACAGATGATCCCTTCAGAACCAGTGGTGAGAGTGGCAATACCCAGAGGGTGGAGGGAAGGTGGGGTAGAAAGGAGGAACTGATCACAAGGATCCACATATAATCCCCTCCCTGGGGGATGGACAACAGAAAAGTGGGTGAAGGGAGACATCAGACAGTGTAAGACATGACAAAATAATAATGTATAAATTATCAAGGGTTTGTAAGGGAAGGGAAAAATGAGGAGCTGATACCTAGGGCTCAAGTAGAAAGCAAATGTTATTAGGATGATGGCAACAAATGTACAAATGTGCTTGACACACTGTATGGATGTATGGATTGTGATGAGTCGTACGAGCCCCCAATAAAATGATTTAAAAAAAAAAAACATCCTCACAAATTTTAGAGGGAATTCCAGGGCTTTCCTGATCCACAGGAAGCCCACAAATGGTGTGGGCCCATGCTCAGAACCCTGCCACCTAGATTCCCTTTCTCCACAACAAGCTTTTCCCAGTTACGATGTTCTTAACACGTTTCCAATTCCCCCCCACCCCCACCCAGCCTACTTCCCATCACTACCACCATCACAACGCACATACACACAGTGGCTGGCTATGTCCCAGAGCAGTCCACTTTACAGATGGAGCTCAGAGATGGTCTGTGACAAGCCCATCCTGACACTTCCTTTTTCCCTCCCAGCTCCTCCTGGCTCACGGAGCCTGGTCCCCTGGGGAGTTGAGGGCTCCCAATTTGGCTGGTACCACCCCTTGGACCTGTCCTTCCTCAGGAGTCCTCTCTCTGAGCCCCCACAAGGGAGAATCTGTCCCCATCTCCCAGGACCCCCACCCCGCCTTGTTTTCTCTCCAGAGGCCAGGAAGGGGGTGGTATCTATGTATGGCGGTGACGTCTGGAGCCTGGTCTGCTGGGTGGCAGAGAGTGACATTTGGCTCCACTAGACTCAGACAACTTCTAGAGCACCCCCTTTTGCTCTCCTCCCCGTTCCCCCCTCCTCCCAGAAGAGTGTCGCCTGCAATCAGGCAAACTGAGGGTGCTGCTCAGCCCAAGCCTCCCGCCTCTCTGGAGAAGTCTCCTGGGGCCTAGCTGGTTAGGGTTTCCCGGCAACATGTTTGGCTGGGTGGAGGGAGTCGACTGGAAAATGTGATTATTCCAGGGAATTGACTCGGTGACAGCCATGGTGCAGAGAGGCTGGGGGGCTGCGGAGAGGCAAGGAGGGCCTGTGCAGGGGCGGGTGGTGGGGTGTGCATGCTGAGACAAGCATGGGGACAGGGGGAGGGCCTGTGGCAGAGAGAGAGAGAGAGAGAGAGAGACAGGGATTCCAGGCATTGGCCCTTGGGGAATCCAGAGAGTGGAACCAATAAGGGCAGCAGGCTGAGGAGGGAAGGAGCTCAGAGACGCCCAGCCAGGGACACACGCAAATGGACCTTCACCCTCCACACCCCCTTAGGACACCAGTGCAGAGCCCGTATTGCTGGGCAGCACGGGGCTGCATGTGAGCCACCTTGCATCTCTGGAAAAGTCCCTCTAGCAGGCCTCACCCCTCCCAAGGCAGCCTGTTCTGCTGGCCTTCCAACGTGTTTCCTGCTTTCTAACTGAAATCTCCATCCCTGTGTTGATGGGTCAGAACCGACTTGATGGCAGCGAGTAACTACCCCTGAAGGAGGCCTCGTGGCCCCTGTAGGTCAGGGATTGGGCTGCCAACCGCAAAGCTGGTGATTCAAACCCACCAGCCTCTCCAAGAGAGAAAGGTGAAGCT